AACGGTCTGAATATAAACTTCAACTTTGTCATCTTTGACCATTAAAAATAATGTTTTTACTATTTAAACAAAGTATATTTTCCCTAATAATAAATAGATTAAAATGTCTGTTTATAATAAATTATGAAAAAAATGGGGTTTATCCCAGGAATGCAAAATTAGTTCAACATTTAAAAACCATCAATGTAACTCACCCACATTACAGAATAAAAAAGGAAAATAATATGATAGTCTCAACAGAGGCAGAAAAGGCATCTTACAAAATTCAATACCCATTCAGAATAAAAATTCTCAACAAACCGACAGTACAAGAGAACTTCCCCATTTGATAAAAAGCATGTAAAAAAACTGAACAGCTCACATCACATTTAATGGTGAAATACTACATGCCTCCCCTCAGGTCAGACACAAAACCAAGATGTTCACTTTCACTGTTTCCATCTGCCTTTGTACCAGAAACCAGTGCAAAAATCAAGAAAGCAAAATAAAAGGTATAAAAATTGGGGAAAAAAAGTGAAATTGTCATTATTCACAGATGATATGATTCTTTACATTGAAAATCCTAAGGAATCTACAGAAAATTTTCAAAGTCTAATAAATAAATTTAGTAAAGGCACAGAACACAAGGCCAACCATACAAAAGGCGACTATTTCTACGAGCAACAAACAAAAGGAAAATAAAAAATTTTAAGTACCATTTATAATAGCATCAAAAAAATATTTAGGATAAATTTAACCAAAAAATATGCAAGACATCTATACTTAAAAACACAAAATATTGCAGAGAAATTAGAAAAGATCCAATAAACAGAGATTTATACTATGGTTCATGGATCAGAAAACTGAACACTGTTATGTTGTCAATTCTCTCCAAATTGATTTATGGATCAACATCACCTCAGCTGAAATCTTAGTGTGCATTTTTGTAAAAATAACAAGCAGATTCTGAAATTTATATGCAAATGCAAAGGACCTAAAATGTACAAACATTCTTAAAAAACAAGATCGAAATTGGAGAACTTATACCATCTAATTTCCAGACTTACTTTTATAAAAGCTACAGTAATCTAGATGATATAGTATTGGTGAAAAAACAGATAACAAATCAGTGGAACAAAAATAGAGAGTCTAGAAAAAGATCCATAAATATATGGTCAATTGATTCTCAATAAAAGTGCCAAAATTATTCAATGGGGAAAGAACAGACTTTTAAGAAGTATTGCTATATCTTGGGATAGCTTGATACTATATCGGGGGGAGAGGGTGGAAAGGAACCATAACTCCCACCTCATACCATATACAAATATTAATTCAAAATGGATCACAGACCTAAAAGTAAAAGCAATAACTAAAAAGCTTTTAGGAAAAAAATGTAGGAGAATATCTTAGCAACTTTAGGGTGCAAGACAAAGTTTTCTTAGACAGGACACAAAAAAGCACTATTTGCAAGAGAAAAAAAAAATCTGCTTTTCTAATGACACGGTTAAGAAACAAAAAGGCAAGCCATAGACAAAAAAATATATATTTGCAACCTAAAATATTCTAGATATGTATGTATCCGGAATACATAAAGAACTATTATACTATGACTGAATAAAACAAGTCATCTGACCTCACAAATGGCATAAAACTTGAACATTAACAAAAGATATACAAATGACCAACAAGCACAGGAAAAAGTGCTAAATATCCTTAATTGTCAGAGAAATCAGATTAAAACAATGAGATACTACTTCATATTCACTCAGAATGGTTCATACTAAAAAGACTGACAATATCAAATATTAGAGAGAATGTAGCACCACTGGAATTCTCATACATTGCTGGTGAGAATGAAAAATGTTACAATCACTTTGAAAAACAATTTGGTAGTTCCTTATAAAGTAAAGCAAACACCTACCCTTTGACCCAGCAACTGTATGCTCATATTTACCTGAGAGAAATGAAAACATACCCACACGAAGACTTTTATAAGAATGTTCACGGCAGCTTTATTCGTAATAGCCAAATGCATACAACCCAAAGTGTTAAACAACGGGTGAATGGTTAACCAAACTGTGGCATATTCATACAAAATACTAATCAGGAAAAAAAAGTGGTGAACTACTGACTCATGCAACAACGTGGATGAATCTTAGAGACACAAGAGTACATACTGCATGATTCCATTGATGTGAAATTCTAGAACAAGCAAAACTATACTTGGATGCTAGAAATAACAACAGTGGTTTCTCTTACAGTAGGTGAAGGGAAGGGACCGAATGAAGAAGCATGACAAAACTTTCTAGGGTGGTGGAAATGTTCTAAACATTGATCTGGGTGGTAGTTACCCAGGTGTATGTATTTATCAAAACTCACCCAAATATATACTTAACATCTGTGCACTAACTGTATGTAAATTATATCTCAATAAAGTCTGTTTAGTTCTTTACATTAAACATCTATTAATAAAGCCAAAGGACTGCAGTGGATGATGGCCAAGGGCCTAAATCACCTCTTTCCCAGAGTACTCAGGAAGTGCTCCTATTCATGAGAAGCACAGATATAAATGCTAAAGTTCCTCCTGAAAGGTACAGCTTTGTGTCTAGTGTTACGATTTCATCTTAAATGATTAAATCTTGTTCAAGTAATTCCCCTCAAAGACTCAAATGATCATTCTCCATTCCTAATTGAAAGAATTAAATGTTATAAGGCTTATATTTTAAATGGCTACTTATTTTCACTCCAAAGACAATTTTTATTGTTCCTATTATCATTGCTACAGATATTCCAAAAAGTGATCAGGTAGAAAGAAGGGATTAAAAAATATTACCACAGGAAAATATATTATTGCAATTATGACCTGAATACCTTTAGTCATTTAATGCATTAAAAGATATTTTAAAACTTAACAGAAAGTATTCTCTTTACCAAATTTACAAAGAAAATACTGTATTTGAAATCCAACAGACTTGTATCCAGGATACATAAAGAACTGCTACAACTGGATAATAAACTGATCTTAAAAATGGCATAAAACTTGAACTGACATTCACAAAAGAAGATACACAAATGGGCAATAAGCACATGAAAAAGTGTTCAACATTAGTTGTCAGAGAAATGCAAATTGAAACTACAATGAGATACTACTTCATATTCACTTAGAATGTCTAATACTGAAGACTGGCAAAATATTAACATAAGAAAAACTATTACTACTGTTACGACATGAATTATTTCAGTCATTTAATAATACATCAAAAGATATTTCATGATTTAAAAGACAAAGTATAAAATGTATAGAGACAGAAAGTAGATTAGTGGTTGCTTAAGGCTGGAGGGATAGGAGTGGTAGGGAAGTGATAGCTAAAGGGAATAGGGTTTCTTTTTGAGGTGATGAGAATGTTCTAAAATTGACTGTGGTGATGGATGCACTTATCTGTTACTCCACTAGAAGCCACTGAATTATACACATAAAATGGGTAAATTGTATGATATACGAATTATATCTCAGGAATGCTGTTATTTTTAAAAGCCATTGAGATTTTGATTGGGATTACATTGGAATCTATAGATCAGTTTGGAGAAAACATATCTTTACTGATTCTTTCAATACATGAACATTATATAGTTCTCCATTTATTTGAGTCTTTTTCAGTTTCTCTCAAAAATGTTTTATAGAATTCCATGAAGAAGTACTGCACATATTTTATTAGATAGGTATCTGATGCTATTTATATGGTATCTTTAAAAGAGATAGTGAAAGCACTGAATGTAGGGTAAGAAGATAAACAGAGCATGGTATGCATATTAAATAATCAAAATTTCAAAATAAAAAATCACTATATATGGTCTAGCAAATAATTTTTTATTTTAAAATTTATTTATAGAAAAGGAATACAAATATATAAAAATAAAATATTCAATCCCATATGAAACAAATCACATTCATGAAAAAGAATAAAAATATATAAACCTGCAAATGTCCTGGAAAATTCCATGATAGGTGGATACCACAGTGAAAAAATGCTTTCTGATTTATATTTGTTACATTCTTTAGTTTAAGGTGAAAACAGTCATTGCTTCATTTTAGTCTCTGTATTTACTCAATATATATATTTACTAGCAAAATGCTTTCATTGCAAGAAATTTTATTTAACGATGGCTAAGTATACATCTAAAGCTGGTAATGTTGAACATGTTAAAAAATATCAATCATATTTGTGCTACAGAGATTTTATTATCTTTTCAAGTCAAGGTAATTGAAATATTATCTAACTATATCAATTAGTCCCTTGAAAGCAGATTGTAGAGTTGGTTTTTTTTTTCATAAAGTAAGTATTTGTTTTCTAATAAAATCAAATAAAGACATAAATCACATTTGGCTTTTAAGTAAACTTTGTGTAAGTTACTTAATGTTTCTGGATCTCAGTTTTCTCATCTGAAAAAGAAAGTTAGATGCAAATATCTCTCTAGTCCCAACTGGCTTTAAAACTATAATAAGGAAACAACAAAACCATAAGGCCATACCATACTTTAAGCAAAAACAATAATGTATGAAAAACTAGATGTACATAAGCTAAAAAACCCAGTAATTACTAGTTTACACAAAAGGATTCTCTGCTTTCACCTCAGAATTAGCAGACTACCTAAATATAATTTATACAAAACTTTTCAAAAATATATTTGATGTTTATTCAAAGTGCAAATTCATCACATTCCTGAATTATAATCTTATATCTCTACTAATAATCATAGTTATCACATTGATATTAGGATAAAAAGCATGGTATATATGATACCATTTCAGAAGAAAGGCCATTTATAATTCTAAGATATTTCAGACATTTTGGAAAGTATACAAATAATATGTTCACAAATAGGGCTACTTTTTTTGGTGGAGTGATAAGAGAGATAGGACATTATCTCAAAGAGAATTTAGAAAATATGTAATCCAGAAATGATGTATCTATAATTAACAACATACTTCTGAAAAAAATGATTCAATATGAAAATATTACCTGATCAATGATAGAATTTAGCTTGGTAAGTAACAAAAATCCTCGACCATGGACAAGGTACTGTCCAAGGGTTGCCATGTGTGTCTCCTCCTCTTCCTCCTCCCTGGCCTCCACCCTCTGGACCACTGCATTGCAAAGCCGGTTGACATCAGTCAGAAATTGACGTGCCAATGAGTTACTGTCAGTGCTCATGACCGAGCTATAAAATAAATATTACAAAAAAGATTAGAAAAAGAGAATACAAATTTACTTTTAAAGCTATGTGTTTTTGTTGTTTGTTTTTAACTGAAGACTGACTTTACTGGGTATTGGTACTTAATCCTGTAACATTTTTAGTCATAGTTCTGATCCAGTCAGGAGCTCCTTAAATTGTGCCATGGCAGAAATGAATCCTGGGTTTCAAACACCTGAGCATAGCCAAGAATGGGTTAAGTGATAGCATCTAGACAGAAGATACTTTCTCTCTTAAATAGAATAAAAATAAATGTTCTTGTTTTACATGTTTTAAAACAGATAAAAGGATATTTTAAAAACAGAAACTGTTGGTCAGAAAAAAAACAATAAAAAAATTAAAAATATAAACTGTTTTTTTTACCTGATAGAGCCCACAATCACTGATCCAACCTCCCAAAACACCAGAGTTCAGTTAATACAAGGAAGAAAAAGGATTTCCCATTAGGGGAATAAAAATTGAAGAATTCTATCAGCCAAAGTTATGCCACTTCACTTCTTACTACACATTTGAATCAAATACAGGGCAATGTGACATTTTAAGATTAAGGAAAACAGTAAGGTAAAGTAAGCAGAAGAGGGAGGAAAGCAAATATAGAGACAAATATACAAATTTCAGAAATGAAAAATCATGAGCAGCAAAATCCCCCAAGGGTTTCAAAATAGTTTCATCTTTGGGCTAAAAGATGAAACTTTCAGGCATTTAGTAACCTTTAAAAATTGTCTAACCTAGAGATGTTAAATTAGACATATGTACATTGCCTCATCTTCCTTCAACCCCCTTTGGGGGACGCGCTCCCCACAGTCCCTGCTGAGAAGGAAGCAAGCCACATCCCTTCTGCCAAGGGGCCAGAGTCAGGCTCTGGGCCTCGATGAATTGAAGCACATCTCGTTCAGAAGCAGCCACAATACATGCCGGTCACAGATGTGACTGGTATAGTATAGCCTGCAAAGAGGAACTAAACCAATCAGGTTTTCTTTCTCTCTCTCAGGAATTTAAACTAAAGGGACATAGTTGATGTGCTGAAAAGTCTTACAGAGATGGGCCTGTGGGGGTCTTTATAAAGGAGGTAGGTGAGGCTCAGAAGAAGCCAACTGGGTAAAAATGAACCAACAGGATGCAAAAAGAAGCAGATAAACATGAAAGGCAAAGACTAGAGAAATTCTTAATACTACCTTGGTTCCTTCTAATTCTAGGGCCTGATAGTTTAATTCCTATATTCCCATCAGAATTCTAGGTAGTATTACAATAACAATTCCCTCTTAGTACAACAAATATCATTTATTTTTAATATTTTTGGCCACTAGGAAAAAGACAAAAAAGTATAAAAAAGTACATCCCCCATTATTCTAAAATGCTGCAATAACCTCTATTATACCCAATATGGGTTCTTTATAAGCTTTCATAAAGTAAAATTATTCAATAAATCAAATAACCTAATTTATATTTATCCAACTTTAATAAATGTCATCTAATGTGTTACTGATTTTAGGATACATAATTATTCAGTACAGTGCTAAAAAAGAAAAAGACACTGCCAATTAAACTATGACATAATGCTTTCTTATCACATAGAATTTCCCTACAATATCACTTTCTAGCCATCAGGACCATCCACATTGCAGCATTTCTTAAGAGAACTCACTATTGTTCCCGGGATTTTCTTCCAAAATTGCTAACATCATTCGGTAAGTTTTTATGCTGGTGCTTCCTTGGTCTTTCCAAATTCGATTGGCAAACAAATTTCAGAAAACAACCAGGAAAACATTGAAACCTTAGCAGGTACAGTACCAGCAATGCACAGAAGTCAACTGAAAGCTAACAACGTGAACGTCTACGATCCAGTTCACTTATGAGCAGGCAAGGCCAACTACTTCGCAGGTGCAGCCTCCTGACAGGGCCATCCATTATAAGACATGCTGAAGTTTCAGAAATTTTAAAAATGTGAAAAATCAAAAAATTATGGTTATAATTAGAGCCTATCTTCTGGAAATTAAGATAATGGAAATCAACATGAATTTTTACACTTAAAATTAATGAAGAAATATTTCAATCCCACTTTCTAAAAGCATAAGATGCCATATCAGTAAAAAGCATTATACTATATATGGAAATTATGTTTTTCCCAATTTAAAAAGGTACACAAAATACATACTTGTTTACACGAAAATATTATATATATAAATTATATACAAATAATCTATTAATCTATAATCAATCTATTAATTGATTCCTTTCGATATTTTGAAAAAGTTTTCCCATAAGCTCTTTCTTACTCTTTAATGATGCACAGCATTCTACTGCATGTATATATTACATATATTTCATTTTAGTATAGATGTACTATAATTACATAGCCAATCTCTTATTGTGGAATATTTAGATTACTTCTAGCTTTTGATTATCATAAACAAAGCTGCAATGAACACCCTTACACTACTTGCACATTTACCTCATTATTTCCCTGAAGTAGAAATTGCTGTTACTTCATACCGTAGGTTTTACACATTTCTTGTTAGGTTTACTCAAACATGCTTTATACTTTTTGCCATTATTCTGCCCAGGATTTTGTTTCCCATTATATACTTTAATTTTCTTTTTTTTTTGAGACAAGGTCTCCCGCTGTAACCTGGGCTAGAGTGCAGTGGCATCATCACAGATTACTGCAACCTCAAACTCCTGGGCTCAAGCGATCCTCCTGCCTCAGCCTCCTGAGTAGGTAGGACTAGAGGTGTCCACCACCACCCCTGGCTAATTTTTCTACTGTTTGTAGAGATGGGGTCTCGCTCTTGCTCAGGTTGGTATCCAACTCCTGGACTCAGGTGATACTCCTGCCTTGGCCTCCCAAAGTGCTAAGATTTTAGGCATGAGCTACCGCACCTGGCTATATATTCTAATTAAGATATAAAACTGGTATGTAGCAGACATATAGGAAATAGATTTATTTTGATATACTAATCATATATATCTAAACTTCTTACTGACCTTTCTTGGGTTTTTTTATTTCCCAGATATAATACTCTATAATCTACAAATAACAAAAATTCTAAATTCTCCTATCCAATATTCATACAATTTCCATTCCTCTAACTGCATTAGTTAGCACTAATAGAACGACACTAATTGGGGTGCAGGGGGCACATTAGAGGTATTCATTTCTTCCTAACAAGAATGTTGAATTCAATTGAGTGCCTTTCAGCCATTTTGAATGCCAACTGAAAAGATGATTACATGGTAATTTCTTTAAATTTTTTCTAATATTTCAAATACCTGGAAACAAGGAATATATAACATGAGGTTATAACCAACACCCAGATTTAGCAAGTACTAACATTATGGTACATTCAGGTCAGATAGAGAGAGAAAGAGAGAGTGTGGGGGGGAGGGGGGGGAGACAGATTTAGCAAGTACTAACATTATGGTACATTCAGGTCAGATAGAGAGAGAAAGAGAGAGTGTGGGGGGGAGGGGGGGGAGAGAGAGAGAGTGTGAGAGTGTGAGAGAGAGTGTGAGAGTGTGAGAGAGAGTGTGAGTGTGTGTGTGTGTGTGTGTGTGTGTGTGTGTGTGTGTGTGTAAAGAAATCAAACCTTGGCCAGGTGCAGTGGCTCATGCCTGTAATCCTAGCACTCTGGGAGGCCAAGGTGGGAGGATTGCTTAGCTCAGGAGTTCGAGACCAGCTTGAGGAAGAGTGAGACCCTGCCTCTACTAAAAATAGAAAAATTAGCTGGGCATGGTGGCACATGTCTGTAGTTCCAGTGACTCAGGAGGCTGAGGCAGGAGGATCACTTGAGCCCAGGAGTTTGAGGTTGCAGTGAGCTAGGCTAATGCCACAGCACTCTAGCCAGGGC